TTCTCTAATGTTTTGTTATGTTACTTTAACACGAGAATTTAAATAAATAAAACACTATTAAGTTCCTTTTTTTTTTGGCTGTCTTGTTCCCCTGTTCCTTGCGCTGCTTGCGTTGGTTTCTTATCAACTGTGAGGTGTGGGCTAACAAATGATCGGGTATGTTACTCAATGCTAATATAATTGGGATTGTGTAGTTATACTATGATATTTGTTGCACTCCTACCTTTTTATTGATGTAATCGTCATATATATGTATGTTTTTTTTATCAATAAAGTTTCTCTTTTTTTGTCGATAAAAAAAACAGAAGACAAAAAACTTAGTTTAAGCATTTTAAAGTCATTTTAGCAGTCTTATTTTCTTAAATGGCATTTGGTATTGTAATTGAGAGCCATTGCAAAAGATTTTTTATTTTAAAGTGAGATACTATATAATATATAAATATATATATTAACCATAGCGAATACAATACCATTAAGAGGAACTTGCTCAAGAAGATGAGTACACCTATAAGTCTTCTTAAATTTTTGGTGCATTAAAAAATCCTATTCATTTTTAATTATTATCACAAAATCTTTTTTTTAGTGGCGTTTTTATAAAAGGTGTCACTAATTGTTAGTTTTTAGCAACAATTTAAAATTCATCACAGAAAAACTTCACTAATTATCATTTTTAGCGACATTTAGAATAACGTCACTAATTATCAATTTTTAGAAATTTTTTGGTCCATACAAACACTTATAGAATTTAATAATGTACATGTGCTTGTAACAACACTGGTGCGTAATTAACTATTTTTTCATAACTCAAAATATGGCCCAATAGATTCAATTTTTTTGGGGGGTATAAATTTATACTTAGAGAACACATAAAAAGAATTCTTATATAAAATTTTTACCTAGAAAAAGAGATGATAAGCAATTAACAACCATAAATTAAGGTGAAGAGCAAAATAAAATGAATAATACTATATACATCAATTGGTATATCAATTAATGTACTAACAAATAATGTGACATAATTTTAGAGGTTTTGGATATTTGTAAGTGGAAATATCATTTTCCCCTCTAAACTATCACGCGTTTTTCATGTTGACCCCCATACTTCAATTTATTTCAATTTAATACCTGAACTTGCCACAAATTGATCAATTAGACATCTGCTGTCACCTTCCGTTCACAATTGGACGAAATGTGCTGATGTGGAGGGCAAATTGATTTTTAAAGTATAGTTTGGCGGGGCAAATTGATTTTTAAGGTATAGTTTGAGGGATAAAATGAAATTTTAAATGAACTTTAGTGTCACGTCAACACATTTCATCCAATTTTAGATAGAAAGTGACAGCATGGGTCTAATTGATCAATTTGTAAAAAGTTCAAGTACTAAATTGAAATAAATCAAAGTATGGGGGTCAACGTGAAAACGTGTGATAGTTTGGGAGACAAAATGATATTTGCTCTATTTGTAATTTGTATAATGGGTGGGGGTCATAATTTTGAAATAATAATGTCATAATACATGTTGGTACACTAATTGATGCCAGTAATATCATCAAAATAAAATGGAAAATTATGAATCCCAAATAATCTACTAACAATATGACCCTCACCTTATTACAATCCAATAATAAATAGTAGGGGTACTTACATGTATGTCCTAATAAATGAACTTATTGTCTAATAAATTTTATGAGAAAAATTTGTCATAAAAAAAATCACTAATTGTAAATTTTAGCGACAATTTATAAAAATCATAACAAAAAAAAAATCATTAATTGTCAATTTTTAGCGACATAAAAAATTGTCACAAAAAAATTATTTTTAACAATAATTTTATTAAGACTTATTTTCAATAAGACTTGATGAGAATTAAATCCAATTATTAAGACCTATTAGTAGTTTATTCTAAATTTTTTAGTAAATAAATAAACATATATATATATATATATTGATTTCAGTCCAACAATAAATATGTATAGTCATTTTCAATTGAACACTTGGCCGGTCATTAGCTCCACTAAACAAGCTTATTAATGTGAACATTTGAAGGAAAAAAAATTTACAAAAAAAATTTATATACATAAAATACGTTTGGAATGATGTGGATGTACATATTTATATGGGTAAATTACAATAACACTCCTTGAAGGTTCTATTTAATGTAGATTTTTCTCACTTTTGAAAAGTTACATTTTTCTTTATGAGATTTGTAATCTCATTACAAATTGTCCCTTGAATTGCTGATATAATGTTCTAAAAATTTTTAAACGATCATTTTGCCATTTTTTTTACTATTTCTTCTTCCTATCATTGTGATTACATTCTACAATTTTCTATCATTAAATTTTACTTGAACATATTCTTATTAAATGATGATATACAAACATAAATTTCATATAACATTTTCAAGCACAATAATATAGTTTAATAGTGACCATTCACTTTAAAACAAAACACCCATAAATATAATTTGTATTTACATCACTATCACAACATTTTTATGATATTTTTTATATATGAATAAAAAATTTCATTTTTATTTCCAACATAATTTTTATTTCTCATCTATTCATTCACATTTATTACAATATTACCAAACACCGTCATTTACATTTATTACAGTATTACTTATTTTTTGTATTTATATATATATATATATTTTGTATTTGGTAAATTTAAAAAATAAATCACAAAATATTATCAAGTGTATCTAAAAAATTAAAAAAAAAATTAATTTTTTGTGTGAGCCACTACTAGATATTAAGCTTTTAGAGGCATTTAATTAACACCGCTATAGGTCTCAAAAACGCCACTAATTCTTTTTGTGACACTTAACACTAAACACTGAGGACGTGAGTTGTAGGCTTATGGCACTTTAAAAACATCATTATATCAATATAGGCGACGTTTATAAAAACTCTGCTAAATGTGAAAACTAACAAAATAATGCTGTCACGTCAATATTTAGCAACATTTTAAAAATGTAATGATAACCTTTTTGCTATTTTAAAATATAACCTTTTTGCTATTTTAAAATATAACCTTTTTGCTATTTTAAAATATAACCTTTTTGCTATTTTAAAATATAACCTTTTTGCTATTTTAAAATATAACCTTTTTGCTATTTTAAAATATAACCTTTTTGCTATTTTAAAATATAACCTTTTTGCTATTTTAATTCTTATATAAAATTTTTGAATAATACTATATGTATTAATTAGTGTACCAACTAATGTATTAATAGATGATATAACATAATTTTAAAATTTTTGAATATTTATAATTTGTATAATAGGTGAGGTCAGAAATAATATTATAACTCTAATTTATATATTAATTGGTGAATGTAGCACCGCGAAAAATTTTTACCTAGAAAAAGAGATGATATGCAATTAACAGTTTAGGTGAAGAGCAAAATAAAATAGAGCGGGGCAATTATGACCCTCACCTTATTACAGTCCAATAATAAATAGTAAATAAATAAATAAATATATATATATATATATATTGATTTCAGTCCAACAATAAATATGAATAGTCATTTTCAGTTGAACACTTGGCCGGTCATTAGCTCCACTAAACAAGCTTATTAATGTGAACATTTGAAGGAAAAAAAATTTACAAATAAAATTTGTATACATAAAATACGTTTGGAATGATGTGGATGTGGTATGGACATATTTATATGGATAAATTACACTAACACTCCCGGAAGGTTCTATTTAATATAGATTTTTCTCACTTTTGAAAAGTTACATTCTTCTTGATGAGATTTATAATCTCATTACAAATTGTCCCTTAAATTGCTTATATAATGTTCTAAAAATTTTTAAACGATCATTTTGCCATTTTTTTTACTATTTCTTCTTCCAAACATTGTGATTACATTCTACAATTTTCTATCATTAAATTTTACATGAACATATTCTTATTAAAGTGATGATATACAAGCATAAATTTCATATAACATTTTCAAGCACAATAATATAGTTTAATGGTGACCATTCACTTTAAAACAAAACACCCATAAATATAATTTGTATTTACATCACTATCACAACATTTTTATGATATATTTTATATAAATTTTATATATAAATAAAAATTTCCATTTTTATCCATAGATCAAGTGTATTTAAAAAATAAAAAAAATTTAATTTTTTGTGTGAGCCACTACTAGAAATTAAGCTTTTAGAGGCATTAAAAAAACACCACTATAGGTCTCAAAAACGCCACTAACTCTTTTTGTGACACTTAACACCAAACACTGAGGACGTGACTGCCGTTGTAGGCTAATGGCGCTTTAAAAACATCATTATATCAGTATAGGCAATGTTTATAAAAACTCTGCTAAATGTGATAACTAACAGAACAATGACGTCACGTCAATATTTAGCAACATTTTAAAAAAGTAATAATAACTTTTTTGCTATTTTAAAAATATAACCATTAACACTATAGTGGCTTTTGAAAAATGCTGTTATAGCTTTACTTTTAATTTAATTATAATAAACTGCTAATTCTATTAAGATTTAACTAAAAAAAATTACCTAAAAAAATAGCAATAATGAACAATGAATCAAAACTAAATCATATTTTAATTATGCAATAATCTACTGAAGAGCTGGAACCAAAAATCCATCTTTTTATTATCACAATTTGAATTTCTGATGCTGCAAACAAAAGTGAAAACTATAGATGTCAATTGAAACGACATGAATCACGAAACATCTTTGAAATTGTCTTTGAAATCTCCAGGCATAAATTATTCGAATAATATATAAAAAAGCATCCCGGGCATAAAATTTAACTGTTTTTGAAATCTTCAGCTCTAAGTGCTTCATCATTTCGAATATAGCTTACAAATATTTGTTTTCTGATAGTGAAATAAAATAATGAGCTGATTGTACCCATATTTTAATAAATAAATACTCTAACCGGCATTCAGGTCAAGGAGGAGATAGATTGCAGTTACTAAATCACAAAGTCAATTATGCCTAAAGTGAATGGTTCTACTAATAAAGAACCATTATGAACTTGTTCTGTTCCATTGAGAAACGAAAACAATAAGTCAAAATCCTAAGGCAATAAAAACTTACTTCCCCAGAAGTTACGAGATTCTTCAGTGTACTGACAAATATACTTGTCATCCGCACCAAGAATTTATAACCAGATAACTGACAAATATTTGTTTAATTACTGTTCCATCACATCTATAATAATACACAATACAACATCCTTCATGAAAAAAATCCAACAAGTTCAATTCCAAGAAACCAAGCTTAGAACGAGTTAGTTTCAAAGGCCAAACTTCAACTAAGATGGATAGGCCAACTACCAAACAATATCACCTAATCATTTGAGTCTGCTACACATGGATAGAACCAGCTGAGGGCCGATGATTTAACGCAAATCTTGACCACAAAAATGATCCAATGATCCATTAGCAATGACACAAGTCCAAAAAGCATTAGCTATGCCAAAACGTAAAGATAACCAAAAATATAACTGCACAAAATCAGAATAATGGGTGCAGAGCTGGTGCAACGGAATCGGCCCATACCTTGTTTTGGTTTGATAATTAGACTGGAATTGGCCCCCTTAAATCTTTTGAGGAGAATATGAAAGTTAGAGACTGTTGGTCCAACAATGCTTGGGATTTTAGCAACATCTCCATGGCTTTTCCCACTAAGATCTATCTTTCAATCTTTGAGATCACTTTCCAGTGGTCCAGACCAGATCATCTGGGATCTGCAAATGGTGATTTTAATAGCCATTGGGCTTACCTTCTTACTAAGAAGTTTACCACATCCCACTTTTCCAATTGGTCTCAGGTTTGAAAATCTCCACTTATCCCAAAGCCATTCACGTCCTTTAGTTAAATATCAAATGTAACATCTTTCACTATTTTGCATTAGAATTGACTATTGTGAACATTGAGGAGTTAAACATCAACCTGGAGTGGTTCTTGCTTAATCTTGATCAAAACCCCAAAATTCAGAAAGTGTAAACACCTTTCACTATTTTGATCATATCTCTTTTTATAGTTGGAATTTTGATGTGAGCTTCATTTTGGTCAATAATGAAATTGAGTACCCAATTAGACATTCATGGGCATGTGGTGAACAGAATAAACAGGTTCAGGCATATTTCAAAACAATTATACATTGGTTACTAAGCTTAGTACCCAAGTAGACATTCAGGGGCAACCAAGCTCAACCAATTTAAGTTTACAAAGATTTAAGATATTGATCACTGAAGCTACTCATCCACCCAATTAACTAGCATCAACTGAAATTTGAAGGATGCATACAAACATTTACCATCACATATTTGATGTGATTCATTACTTGAAGTGATGCTGGAAATAGAAATCCAGGTATGCACATAAATATGTGTACTCGCATACTCATACTAACCCACATAAAACAGAGTAACATTAGCAGGCCACCGAAAATGAAGGATATATTTGTGCATAAAGCATAAAGCTGTGTTTAATTATGAGTCCAAAAGTAACTAAATGTTGCATAGTTGTGGAAAAAAACAAACAAAAATCAAAGCTTCAGTAAAGAACAAAATAATAAAAACAACATGAAATCATGACATATTACCCTGTATGTCATTCATAATCACCAAGTGATGTATGTTATAGACTTTTAGTCATAGCATGATTACATAAATTTTCTTTTGGAAATTATGCACCTTATTTATAGAATCATTATGCTACTGGGGAACATTTTTTCCAAAAGAGAAGTCAAGACAATCATGACCACATGGCCACTGAGTTTTACTAATGAGAATCTGTAAATACATTAATTTGTAACCTTGGAAGCATTCTATCATTCACTATTCATAATCTTTTTATCTATTATTCATTGGCACAATTAATTTCCATATTTATTTGTATGTAGACAGTAAGTGCCATTTACAGTCTCATCTTTCACTCTTATTTCCTGCTTAAAGTCCCTAATCTTGTAACTGGAATAAGTACAAAAGATTCACAACTTAACTCCTAAAAATCAACTAGAATCATTAAACTTTGCAACCCTAACAACAATGCCATTGAGAAAAGTATAATATGTGCATATATCAGAATTGGGACCAAAAATCAGATCAGCATAGGAAAAAAACAGGCTAATATTGTTGATGCTAATTTAGGGTTTAAAACAGGGTAATAAAAAAATAGAGAGTGAAAAATAAAGAATACTAATTGAAAAATCAGTTCTGGTGATCTGGGGAAAAATAAATGAGATGTGTAAAACACTGATTGATCAATACAAACTGATCAACAAAAAAACAGAGATTAAACTTCTTCAAAACATTGATTGAAAACCCTAGGAGAAGAATTGACGGGAAGGAAGAAGAAGAACGCGAGAGAGAGAGAGAGAGAGAGAGAGAGAGAGAGAACTTGAGATTTTCTGATGGGAAGGTGCTCACCTTAGTAGATGATGGTGCTCACTCTCCTCGCCGGATGAATCTGAAATTGAATCACGGAGCTTTGAAATCGAGAGAGAACTTCGAAATCGCCGAATGAATCTGAGATTGAATCACCGAGCTGAAGAAGGTAGAACTTCGAAATCGCGTTCAATCGATCAATAGATCTTCAATCAATCTGATCTAAGAATGATAAAGTAGATGAAACCTAGCATACCTGAATCGAATGATTCCATTAGTAAGTATCATCTTCAATCGAACTTGAATGTGAGAAGATATAGATGAGACTGATCAACACTTAACATTCTGCTCTGCGAATCGACGATCTACGAATACTTGAATCGAATAAACGAAGGGGTGAATCGAAGAGAAGGGTTGCAGATTAATCGAATAAACGAAGGTTTGAAGCGAGAGAAACGAAGGGGTTTGAAGAGAGAGAGAGAGAGAGTGAAATCAGGGGTTTAGAGACGGTGAGGCTTCGTTTGGGAAGCCTTCGTTGGGTTTTTTTTTTTTTTTATGTTTTAGTTTAATTATTTTAGTCACAAAAAATAATGGGTAAATTATTGATAAATTCTATTTAGAAGTGTTTTAACCTAAGAAGTTCATGAATAAATTTTTTAACCCATTTAGTCCCATGTATGTATAGTTTTATTCTATAAAGTCCTTTTTCTTGATTTATACTATTTTCTTGGACACTTATGCCCTTATATTTAATTTTGATACCCTTTATAAATATTTTTTGAACGGTTAGCAATTTTATGATGTGAACATTTATATTTTTAAATTCACATTGGTAGGAATGTAAAATTGGCCCATGGACGGCCCGAAACCTACCCGCGAGCTGGGGCGGGCCCGGCCCATTGACAATGTGAATATTCACATTGACATGTTAACATTCACATTAATAGGAGTGTAAAATTGGCCCGCGTCCCGTGGCGGCGCGAAAACCGCCCACGGCCCATGGACGACCCGGGACGAGCCCGATCCGGCACGTTGACAATGTGAATATTCACATTGACATGTTAACATTCACATTGATAAGAGTATAAAATTGGCTCACGACCCATGGCTTGCCAAAAGCTTGCCCGTCGCCCGAGGTGGGCGCGGACCCGGCCCAGCCCGTTGACAATGTGAATATTCACATTGACATGTTAACGTTCACATTGATAGGAGTGTAAAATTAATCCGCGCCTCATGGCTGCCCGAAACCCGCCTACGGTCCATGGGCGACTCGGGGTGGGCCCGGCCCGGCCTGTTGACAATATGAATATTCACATTGACATGTTAACATTCATATTGATAAGAGTATAAAATTGGCCAGCGGCTCAAGGCGGGCCCGACCCGGCCCGTTGACAATGTGAATATTCACGTTGACATGTTAACATTCACATTGATAAGAGTATAAAATTGGCCAGTGGCTTAGGACGGGCCCGACCCGGTCCGTTGACAATGTGAATATTCACATTGACATATTAACATTCATATTGATAAGAGTGTAAAATTAACCAGCAGCCCGTGGGCGGCCCGAAGCCTGACTGCAGGCCGAGGTGGGTTTGGTCCGACCCGTGACAATGTGAATATTCATATTGGCATGTTAACATTAATATTGATAAGAGTGTAAAATTTGCCCGTTGCCCGAAGCTTGCCTGCAGCCCGGGATAGGCCCGGCCCGGCCCATTGACAATGTAAATATTCACATTGACATGTTAAAATGCACATTGATAGGAATGTAGAATTGGCCCGCGGTCAGTGGGCTGCCCGAAGCCCACCCACGGCCCAAGACATGCTCGTTTCGGTCTAGGCCCGAGCATGTCCGAGACCCTAGGTTAGGGCCTAGGTCATCACTTTGAAGCCCGGCCTAGCCTATCAGCTCGCTTAAAACCCATTCAAGGCTCGGTCCGAGGCCCAGCCTACCCGAAGCGCAATGTATTTTTTTGTGAAAAATAATAAAATTTTGGTAGAAAAATTAAAAATAATTAAAAAAAAATGGCCAGGGCCGCCCAAGCCCGACCTAAGCTCGAGGCTAAGCCCAGGCCCACTGGCCCGACCCGAGGCTCGATCCATCAGCTCGTCCAAAGCCCGAATACCTTTGTGCTAGGGCTAGGGCCTGGGCTTAATTTTTTGGCCCGTGGGCCGGCCCGACCCGACCAGGGAAAGACTCGTTTGGGCCTAGGATCGAGCCTAGTCCGAGACCCTAGGCTAGGGCCTAGGCCATCACTTTGAAGCCCGGCCCGGCCCATCGCATCGGCCCGGTTAAGGCCTATTCAAGGCTCGGTCCGAGGCCCGGCCCGCGCCGAGGCCTAGTGTCTTTTTTTGTGGAAAATAATAAAATTTTGGTAGAAAAAATTGAAAAGAATTAAAAAAAAATGGCCAGGCCCACCCCGGGCCACCCACGGGCCGTGGGCGGGTTTCGGACAGCCACGAGGCACGGGCTAATTTTACACTCCTATCAATGTGAATGTTAACATGTCAATGTGAATATTCACATTGTCAACAAGTCGGGCCGGGCCCGCCCAGGGCCGCTGGCCAATTTTATACTCTTATCAATGGGAATGTTAACATGTCAATATGAATATTTACGTTGTCAACAGGCCGGGCCGAGCCTGTCCTGGGCCGCCCACGGGCCGTGGGCGGGTTTCGAGTAGCCACAAGGCGCAGGCTAATTTTACACTCCTATCAATGTGAATGTTAACATATCAATGTGAATATTCACATTGTCAACGGGCCGAGCCGGGCCCGCCCGGACCGTAGGCGGGCTTTTCGCTGCCCATGGGTCGCGGGCCAATTTTATACTCTTATCAGTGTGAATGTTAATATGTCAATGTAAATATTCACATTGTCAACGGGCCAGACCGGGCCCGCCCCAGGTCGCCCATGGGCCGCGGGCGGGTTTCACGCTGCCACGGGTGTCACGACCCGAACCCGCCCCCGTGGGTTAAGGACGTAACCGGCCAGTAATCATGAGATTACCTACGGCCTCAAACTGTTCTAATATATACATTTGATGTGAAGTATTCAACATTGTTCCTGTTTAAAGACTTTAATTGCTTATATTCACCTAGTTCACACGAATGATGTTCCTTTTATCATTCCAGAATTCCTCTTTAGTCCTTGATGCTGTTAAAGCATTTTCATTTTTCTGGAAAAGGACAGCGTCTAGTGAAAAAGAGTTTTTGAGATCGAGAGTCATTAATGTCAAGTACTATAAGAACAACTCTTATTCGGGAAGGGCTTATACCATCTTGAAAGCCTTACTTGAAGAGAAATACCTCTTTAACAAGGATTTGAAAGTCCTAGTTACGAATGTGTCCAATACCTTGTTTTGGTTTGACAATTAGACTGGAATTGGCCCCTTTAGAATATGGTCCAACAATGCTTGGGATTTTAGCAACATCTCCATGGCTTTTCCCACTAAGATCTATCTTTCAATCTTTGAGATCACTTTCCAGTGGTCCAGACCAGATCATCTGGGATCTGCAAATGGTGATTTTAATAGCCATTGGGCTTACCTTCTTACTAAGAAGTTTACCACATCCCACTTTTCCAATTGGTCTCAGGTTTGAAAATCTCCACTTATCCCAAAGCCATTCACGTCCTTTAGTTAAATATCAAATGTAACATCTTTCACTATTTTGCATTAGAATTGACTATTGTGAACATTGAGGAGTTAAACATCAACCTGGAGTGGTTCTTGCTTAATCTTGATCAAAACCCCAAAATTCAGAAAGTGTAAACACCTTTCACTATTTTGATCATATCTCTTTTTATAGTTGGAATTTTGATGTGAGCTTCATTTTGGTCAATAATGAAATTGAGTACCCAATTAGACATTCATGGGCATGTGGTGAACAGAATAAACAGGTTCAGGCATATTTCAAAACAATTACACATTGGTTACTAGGCTTAGTACCCAAGTAGACATTCAGGGGCAACCAAGCTCAACCAATTTAAGTTTACAAAGATTTAAGATATTGATCACTGAAGCTACTCATCCACCCAATTAACTAGCATCAACTGAAATTTGAAGGATGCATACAAACTTTTACCATCACATATTTGAAGTGATTCATTACTTGAAGTGATGCTGGAAATAGAAATCCAGGTATGCACATAAATATTTGTACTCGCATACTCATACTAACCCACATAAAACAGAGTAACATTAGCAGGCCACTGAAAATGAAGGATATATTTGTGCATAAAGCATAAAGCTGTGTTTAATTATGAGTCCAAAAGTACCTAAATGTTGCATAGTTGTGGGAAAAAACAAACAAAAATCAAAGCTTCAGTAAAGAACAAAATAATAAAAACAACATGAAATCATGACATATTACCCTGTATGTCATTCATAATCACCAAGTGATGTATGTTATAGACTTTTAGTCATAGCATGATTACATAAATTTTCTTTTGGAAATTATGCACCTTATTTATAGAATCATTATGCTACTGGGGAACATTTTTTCCAAAAGAGAAGTCAAGACAATCATGACCACATGGCCACTGAGTTTTACTAATGAGAATCTGTAAATACATTAATTTGTAAGCTTGGAAGCGTTCTATCATTCATTATTCATAATCTTTTTATCTATTATTCATTGGCACAATTAATTTCCATATTTATTTGTATGTAGACAGAGTGCCTTTTACAGTCTCATCTTTCACTCTTATTTCCTGCTTAAAGTCCCTAATCTTGTAACTGGAATAAGTACAAAAGATTCACAAACTTAACTCCTAAAAATCAACTAGAATCATTAAACTTTGCAACCCTAACAACAATGCCATTGAGAAAAGTATAATATGTGCATACATCAGAATTGGGACCAAAAATCAGATCAGCATAGGAAAAAAACAGGCTAATATTGTTGATGCTAATTTAGGGTTTAAAACAGGGTAATAAAAAAATAGAGAGCGAAAAATAAAGAATACTGATTGAAAAATCAGTTCTGGTGATCTGGGGAAAAATAAATGAGATGTGTAAAACACTGATTGATCAATACAAACTGATCAACAAAAAAACCGAGATTAAACTTCTTCAAAACATTGATTGAAAACCCTAGGAGAAGAATTGACGGGAAGGAAAACATGAGAGAGAGAGAGAGAGAGAGAGAGAGAGAGAGAGAGAACTTGAGATTTTCTGATGGGAACGTGCTCACCTTAGTAGATGATGGTGCTCACTCTCCTCACCGGATGAATCTGAAATTGAATCGCCGAGCTTTGAAATCGAGAGAGAACTTCGAAATCGCCTAATGAATCTGAGATTGAATCACCGAGCTGAAGAAGGTAGAACTTCGAAATCACCTTCAATCGATCAATAGATCTTCAATCAATCTGATCTAAGAATGATAAAGTAGACGAAACCTAGCATACCTGAATCGAATGATTCCATTAGTAAGTATCATCTTCAATCGAACTTGAATGTGAGAAGATATAGATGAGACTGATCAACACTTAACATTCTGATCTGCGAATCGACGATCTACGAATACTTGAATCGAATAAACGAAGGGTGAATCGAAGAGAAGGCTTGCAGATTAATCGAATAAACGAAGGTTTGAAGCGAGAGAAACGAAGGGGTTTGAAGCGAGAGAGAGAGAGAGAGAGAGAGTGAAATCAAGGCTTTAGAGAGAGTGAGGCTTCGTTTGGGAAGCCTTCGTTGGGGTTTTTTTAAATTTTTTTAGTGCGATTATTTTAGCCACAAAAAATAAAGAGTAAATTATTGATAAATTTTATTTAAAAATATTTTAACCTAAGTAGTCCATGAAATTTTTTTTTAACCCATTTAGTCCTATGTATGTATAGTTTTATTCATAAAGTCTTTTTTCTTGATTTACACTATTTTCTTGGACACTTATGCCCTTATATTTAATTTTGATACTCTTATAAATATTTTTTGAACGGTTAGCAATTATGATGTGAACATTTATATTTTTAAATTCACATTGGTAGGAATGTAAAATTGGCCCATGGACGGCCCGAAACCTACCCGCGAGCTGGGGCGGGCCCGGCCCATTGACAATGTGAATATTCACATTGACATGTTAACATTCACATTAATAGGAGTGTAAAATTGGCCCGCGTCCCGTGGCGGCGCGAAAACCGCCCACGGCCCATGGACGCCCGGCCCGGCCTGTTGACAATGTGAATATTCATATTGATATGTTAACATTCACATTGATAAGAGTATAAAATTGGCTCGTGGCCCATAGCTGGCCAAAAGCCCGCTCGCCGCCCGGGACGGGCCCGGCCCGGCCCGTTGACAATGTGAATATTCACATTTACATGTTAACATTCACATTGATAGGAGTGTAAAATTAGTCCGCACCTCGTGGCTGCCCAAAACCCGCCCACGGCCCAGGGACGGCCCGGGGCGGGCCCGGCCCAGCCTGTTGACAATGTGAATATTCACATTGACATGTTAACATTCACATTGGTAAGAGTATAAAATTGGCCAGCGGCCCAGGGCGAGCCCGACCCGGCCCATTGACAATGTGAATATTCACATTGACATGTTAACATTCACATTGATAGGAGTGTAAAATTAGCCCGCGCCTCGTGACTGCCCAAAACCCGCCCACGGCTCATGGGGGGCCTAGCCTGGCCTGTTGACAATGTGAATATTCACATTGACATGTTAACATTCACATTGATAAGAGTATAAAATTGGCCCGCAGCCCATGGGCGGCCAAAAGCCCGCCCGTCGCCCAAGGCGGGCCCGGCCCCGTCCGTTGACAATGTGAATATTCACATTGACATGTTAACATTCACATTGATAGGAGTGTAAAATTAGCCCGCATCTCGTGGCTGCCCGAAACCCGCCCACGGGCCATGGGCGGCCCGGGGCGAGCCCGGCCCGACTTGTTGATAATGTGAATATTCACATTGACATGTTAACATTCACATTGATAAGAGTATAAAATTGGCCAGCGGCCTAGGGCGGGCCCGACCCGGCCCGTTGACAATGTAAATATTCGCATTGATATGTTAACATTCACATTGATAAGAGTGTAAAATTGGCCCGTAGCCCGTGGGCGGCACGAAGCCCGACCGCAGGGCGAGGTGGGTTTGGCCCAACTCGTGACAATGCGAATATTCACATTGTCATGTTAACATTAACATTGATAGAAGTGTAAAATTTGCCCGCTGCCTGAAGCTTGCCCGCTGCCCGGGGTAGGCCCGGCCCGTTGACAAAGTGAATATTCACATTCACATGTTAAAATGCACATTGATAGGAATGTAGAATTGGCCCGCGGCCCGTGGGCTGCTCGAAGCCCACCCACGACCTGGGACAGGCTCGTTTCGGTCTGGGCTTGAGCATGTCCGAGACCCTAGGTTAGGGCCTAGGTCATCACTTTGAAGCCCGGCCTGGCCCATCGGCCCGCTTAAGGCCCATTCAAGGCTCGGTCCGAGGCCCAGCCCACCCGAGGCACAATGTATTTTTTTGTGAAAAATAATAAAATTTTGGTAGAAAAATTAAAAAGAATTAAAAAAAAATGGTTAGGCCCGCCCAAGCCCAACCTAAGCTCGAGGCTAAGCCCAGGCCCACCGGCCCGACCCGAGGCTCGATCCATCGGCCCGTCCAAAGCCCGAATACCTTTGTTCTAGGGTTAGGGCTTGGGCCTAATTTTTTGGCCCGTGGGCCGCCCGACCCGACCAGGGAAAGGCTCGTTTGGGCCAGGCTCGAGCCTAGTCTGAGACCCTAGGCTAGGCCTGGGCCATTACTTTTAAGCCCGGCTAGACCCATTGGCTCGGTTAAGGCCCATTCAAGGCTCGGTCCGAGGCCCGGCCCGCGCCGATGCCTAGTGTCTTTTTTTGTGAAAAATAATAAAATTTTTGTAGAAAAAATTAAAAAGAATTAAAAAAAAATTACCAGGCCCGCCCCGGGCCACCCACAGGCCGTGAGCGGGTTTCAGGCAGCCACGAGACACGGGCTAATTTTACACTCCTATCAATGTGAATGTTAACATATCAATGTGAATATTCACATTGTCAACGGGCCGGGCCGGGCCTACCTTAGGCCGCTGGCCAATTTTATACTCTTATCAATGTGAATGTTAACATGTCAATGTGAATATTCACATTGTCAACAGACCGGGCCGTGTACGGGTTTCGGGCAGCCATGAGGCGCAGGCTAATTTTACACTCCTATCAATGCGAATGTTAACATGTCAATGTGAATATTCACATTGTCAACGGGCTGGGCCGGGTCGGGCCTACTCCAGGCCGTGGGCAGGCTTTTCGCCTCCCATGGGCCGCGGGCCAATTTTATACTCTCATCAATGTGAATGTTAATATGTCAATGTGAATATTCACATTGTCAACGGGCCAGACTGGGCCCGCCCCAAGCAACCCATGGGCCGCGGGCGGGTTTCGCGCGCGCCACGGAATGCGGGGCAATTTTACACTCCTATTAATGTGAATGTTAATATGTCAATGTGAATATTCACATTGTCAATGGGCCGGCCCCGCCTCGGCCCGACTCAATTTTTTTCGGGCACCCACGAGGATCGACATGAGCCGGGCCCTTACACATTGACGATATGAACATTTACATTGACGGTGTGAACATTCACATTAGGGGTATTTTGGTAATTATGTCACCCATAGGACTTATTGAAACATAAGAAAATAATGTGAACTAAATGGAACATAAGTAGATGAAAATGATATTTTGGTCTTCTTATCTCAAATAGGACCTAATGGAATAGTCAAAAAGAATATGGGTTGGATAGAATAAAGCTCTTAGAAAGTGGATTTATAAAAAAAACTCCTAAAAATAAAATAGGTTTTCAGTCTAATAAAATAAAATATCACATCTAACCCATAATTATTATATTTTTTCTCTCACAAAAAATTTTAAAAAGTCAAAAGTCATTCCCAAATCAAATTTTTTAGGAATTTTTATTGATAAATCCCATTTAGAAGTGTTTTAACCCAAAAAGTCCATGAAGAAATTTATTAACCCATTTAGTCCCATGTATGTATAGTTTTATTTCATAAAGTCATTTTTCTTGATTTACACTTTTTTTTTAAGACTCTTATGTCCTTATATTTAATTTTGATACCCTTACAAATATTTTTTGAACGGTTAGCAATTTTATGATGTAAATATTCATATTTTAACATTCATATTGGTAAGAATGTAAAATTGGCCCGTGGGTCGTGGGCGGTCCGAAGATCGCCCCCGGACCGGGGACGGACCCGGTCTGTTGACAATGTGAATATTCACATTGACATGTTAACATTCACATTGATAGAAGTATAAAATTGGCCCGCGGCCCGAAACCCGCCTGTGGCCCGTGGGCTGCCTGGGGCCGGCCCGGCCCGTTGACAATGTGAATATTCACATTGACATATTAACATTCACGTTGATAGGAGTGTAAAATTGACCCGCGGCCCCTAGGCGGCCAGGAACCCGCCCGCGGGCCCGGCCCGGACCATTTACAATGTGAATATTCACATTGACATGTTAACATTCATATTGATAGAAATGTAAAATTGGCCTGTGGTCTGTGGGCGGCCCAAAACCCGCCTGTTGCCCGGGGCAGGGCGGGTTGTAAATATTCATATTTTAACATTCACATTGGTAAGAATGTAAAATTAGCCCGTGGCCCGTGGGCGGTCCGAAGATCGCCCTTGAGCCAGGGCGGGCCGGGTCCGTTGACAATGTAAATATTCACATTGACATGTTAACATTCACATTGATAGAAGTGTAAAATTGGTCCGCGGCCCGTGGGCGGCCCGAAACCCGCCCGCGGCCAATTGACAATGTGAATATTCACATTAACATATTAACATTCACGTTGATAGGAGTGTAAAATTGACCCGCGGCCCGTAGGCGGCCTGAAACCCGCCCGCGGGCCCGACCCGGCCCGTTTACAATGTGAATATTTACATTGACATGTTAACATTCACATTGATAGGAGTGTAAAATTGGCCCGCGGCCCGTGGGCGGCCCGAAATCGGCCCGTTTACAATGTGAATATTCACATTGACATGTTAACATTTACATTGGTAGGAGTGTAAAATTGGCCCGCGACCTGTGGTCTGCCCGAAGCCCGCCCGTTGCCCGGGGCGGGGCGAGCTGTAAATATTTATATTTTAACATTCACATTGGTAAGAATGTAAAATTGGCCCGTGGCCCGTGGGCGATCCGAAACTCCCCTCTGGGTCGGGATGGGCCCGGTTCGTTGACAATGTGAATATTTACATTGACATGTTAACATTCACATTATAGAAGTGTAAAATTGGCCCGCGGCCCGTGGGCTGCCCGGGGCGGGTCCGGCCCGTTGACAATGTGAATATTCACATTAACATATTAACATTCACGTTGATAGGAGTGTAAAATTGACCCGCGGCCCGTAGGAGGCCCAAAACCCGCCTGCGGGCCCGACTCGTTTATAATGTATATATTCACATTGACATGTTAACATTAACATTGAAAGGAGTGTAAAATTGGCCCACGGCCCGAAGCGGGTTTGACCTATTGACAATGTGAATATTCACATTGATATGTTAATATTCACATTGATAGGAGTGTAAAATTGGCTCGCGGCCCGTGGGCACCCGAAGCCCTCCTGTGGCCCGGGGCAAGTTCGTTTGGGCCCGGGCCCGGGCCCGAGCCCTGCCCGAGAAC